TAGATTATTAAACATTTCTGTCATGAATTAATCATGCTATGAAAACAAGGAATAGTATTTCTTATACTAAATGATGGTCACAAAAGTAGTAGGGTGCATTACTGTCAGATGTAGGTCATTTTGTAAAGCTGGACCAAATCTTAATTCTTATTTATAAATTAGGAAGAGATTCTATGATTGCAGAGTGCAGCTATTTAATAAACACCGGGTTTTGCTGATAAAGGAGAGAGCCTGGTATGGGGGTACACCCTCAGGAGCCAAGTTCTTGACCCATCATTTTCTTGCTATGTGACAAGGTCATTCCACTTACAGTACTGGAGTCTCAATTTTCAAATATTTGAAATGGCGAGACTGGTACGTCCTACAGGTTTGTTTTGAAATAAAGTATCTGCCCCATAGGTGTTCATAGGTGGTAGCTGTCGTGATGAGCACAGCTTAGGCATTGTGTATCCTACGGTAAGACAGAGGAGAAGTGATGCTTACGGATTTCTGAGTCTAGTCCCTTAACAAGAAATAGATATATGTGATTAGTAAATGGTATTCTTTCAGAACACAGGGTGCCACCCCTCTACACAAGCACACACATACATACAACCACACCTTACTAAAGAAAAACTGATTCATACCAAAAAGGGTATGCTGCATTCTCCCAGAATGTTCACACCACCTTTCATGGGGCACACTGTCTTATAACTATAGCACAGAGATAACTCAGCAGTTCTTACTACCTCTATTTTATAATTTTAAAAGAGGCTGACTGAAATTGTTGGCAATTACATTTTACTTCTAAAAGTCAGGGTTTCTTACTCCTCTTTTACCTTCTTAGCATAATTTCCTAAAGTCCTTTCTACGAAAACACAAATTTTTCTAATGATTAAAACTTTATCACAGAACATGGTTAAATTTTCATAAAGGAGAACAATTATTGATTTGTGGTTACCATCTTCCCAAAAACGCTGGTTTACAGTGCCACTTCTCATTCTGAATTTTCAAGGCCAATTCACAAGTCAGTATTTTAAAATACGTGCAAATATGGCTAAGTTCAAGGAGCCAACCTGAGAATGTGACCAACTCTATGATGCTCACTATATGACACACTGGAAAAGGGACAGTAAAAAGGTTCACAGCGTAACATGGTTTCAGGGGAGGGAAGTAGGAATATTGGCAGCATGGAGCATGTTTACAACAGTAAAAGTATTCTATGTGACATTAAAATTCTATGTGATTCTATGTGATAAAAGTTCTTAAACATTTGTCAAAGCCCACAGAATGCCTAACAGAGGGACTCCTAATGTAAACTACAGACTTGGGTTGATAATGTGTCAGTGATAGTCCATGGGTTACAGTAAACATGCCACAATGATTTCAGAATAGCCTGCTTTTGTGTTTCCTCAGAGTAGAATGTAATTGCTATACTACAGGTTTATACTGTTATTTTTAAATTAAATTTTAGTTTTAGTATTGAAAATACTAAACGTTCCACTGACAGCCCCTAAATTAAAGTGATTCACAGTGAAAACCTCCGAACATCCTGGACTCATCTCCAGTATCCCTTTCCTTGGAGATAGAAATTATGTATTGGTCAAAAGGTTTGTCCCAACTAAATGTTCTGTGTCACAGTTTGGATCAATGGTTTTCCAATTCCTCTTGCAAATTCACATGCCCAATCAGACTCACTCCAAATGAGCTGTAGATGGTACTCAAAGAAGCCACTGCTACTGAAAAGAACAAAATTATCCAGTATCTTTCATTATTGGTGTGGTTATTATTACACTTTTGTTCAATGAACAACATATAACTCAAAAGGAACAATTTTCCAAAATAGTTATGAAAAAGTTTAAGTAAAGAAGAAAATACACTGAGAATGCAGAGATGATTCAGACGGTGATTCATGAATAGTTGGTTACTCTTTGTGGATGTTAGCAATTTGGGTATAGAATGAAGTTAACATGGGGTGTATGATCTGGTCTTATACTAAGGGCACAATCATTCAGAAAATAAAATTTGAGGGTCAATGGGTGTAATTTCGGTACATCGATTAAAATCTAATATTGCCAAGTTTTCAGCTATTCTAAAAATAGACATTTTAAGACATAGCCAAGGAGACTAGGTTATGTAACAAATATTGCCATGTATTATGGACTGGAATAATAGATATTTAAGAAATACCCTTGGGAATTAACACTAGGTAGATAACACGATTAATGACTTCTGTAACTGTAAAAATTCATAATACTATATTTTCAAAACTTTTAAAAATCCAAAGCCAACAGACACACAAAACACTTTAACCTTCTTTTCTGTACTTTATAGAGGAATTAGAAAAATTAAAAGCTCACAAAAATAAGTGAAATGAAATATTAATTAAGAACATCATAATGGCAGCCTGACGCTGCGCTGAAACTCTGAATAAAACATGGCTACTGTAATTGGACCAGGTTTGTTTCTGTATGAAGTTGTTTCTAATTCTGAAACTGCATATGTTCAGACACAAGCGATGAAGAATGCAAGGGTTGCCATGGTAAGTGCACATCTTTTCTTGGCCAGTCAATTTTTAAAAAATGTACCAAGAACTCTCACCTCAGAATATGTTATGGAAACTGCTTATGCTTTCTTTAGCAGGACATAATAACGTGATGCAATGCAGCATGGACAGAAATAGCCCATATTTAAAAAAAAAAAAAACACTTTAGCCTATTAAAATGGCTTGTAAAACATGGGAGTCAAAGTGAAATAAGCAATCTCCAAGTCACATAACTCTCGTTCAGTGTTGGGTGGAGATCCAGTTCTACTTCCACTGAATTAATAAATGGTCAAAGAGCAAAGGGCATTCCACAGGCTTGACCCACTTCAGGGACTCCAAGTGTAAACCCTGCGAAACCCACATCCAGTACACATGCATGCACTCAGTCCTGTGACTCTTACGGGAAAATAAAATAATCCCAGGTTCTCTACCTCCTCCCTCTTTCCCTGGTGTGATCACTGATTTCCAAGAATCGGGGACACGACTGCTCCACAGTCTTTTGCAGAAAGAGCTCCAGTAAGTCAGCTTAAGGATGCTTGAATGAAAGCCTGGCACTGGGACTGGGGAGGTGGCAGGATCTGCTGCCAATGACAGCAGGTTCTGAGGCGCTGGGAAACCCACGTGTGCAGGGGCAGGAGAACTTTTCCACCAGAGTCTCCCACAGGGAACGCCTCCTTTAAAAACAGGGGCCGATGGGGCAGGGGCTGGAGATGCAAGGTGGGTATTAGAAAGGAAATGTCACAGGAGCTTCACAGGCAACTCGCTATCTATGCTCTTTCGCCTCTGCTTCTCCTGTGGTCAACTTTATCATCCTCCGCCTCCTCTTCCACATATTCTCATGACATCATCATCACCATCATCATCCTCATCATTTCCTTTAAAGGGGGAGTTCAGCCGCTGGGATGCTGAGCAGCCACAGGCTCAGCCTGGAACAAAGAAAATCGAGTTCCTAATACTGTATCTCTCCCGTTGCAGGGATCACGTGTCCTGCTTTCGCTGGAATGCACTATGCTCGCCCACGCTATAAAATCTCTATTGTGCTTAGAAATTCTGCCCAGGTTAAAATGTGCTCAGATACAAACTGCTTTTCCTCCATCACGAGAGCCACATCACAAGGCACCCAGGTACCACAGCTACCTGCTGACCCAGTTACACAGCAGGTAAATTCGATGCATGGACAGCGCATTGCAAAAGTGGTCGGAAGAGAGCAGGTGGAGGACCCTTTCCTCTCACCGACTCCCACCCACCCCGCCTGCCTTTTGTAATTCCTTCTGCAGGCGAACTTCCACAGGAACGTGGGAGTCGCAGATGGCTCCTCTCCGGAGCGATTCCCTGGAGTTGTGAAAGTGACCCCTTATCTTCTCTCCTCGCACTGCGCCCTTGCGCCCAACCCCGATTGCTTTCTGACTTGGTTAGGGAGGAGACAGCGAGGCTAGAGAGCGAGGAGAGGGCGGAGGCGGGTCTTTTATTCAGCCCTGATGGCTAAGAAGTAGTGTCATGAAGCAATTTCGCTGCCATCGCGGTTATTAGGAAGTCCCACTATTTTTAAAGGCAATCTCTACAACTGCCAGCCCAACCCAAGTCCCCATTGCTGACTCTAAAAATACAGTAAGGCTAGAGACTCCAGCAGCCCATCTAAGATTCCCAGAGCGGGGTGCCAAGATTACCCCAGTCCGATAGGGTTTCCCTCCCTCTCCGCACACAGAACCTGAAACACGTCCTGCATCCTTAATGACTCCGAGAGCAGGACGCAAAGGGGCCCAGGCTGGACTGGAAATAGCGCAGGTCCGCCAGCTTCCCGCGAACACAAAGGAGACGTGTGGGCTGGAGTTGCCAGGCTCAGGGAGAGGGAGGCGTCTTTCTCTCTGACTCCGGAGGAAAGCTTTCGCCCCAATGCACCCCACTTCTTTCTGCCCCCCCCAGTCTTTCATGCTTCTTGGTCCCCTGCTTCCCCCAAAGCCCACCTTTTCCTTCCAATCCCCAAATGCCACGAAGACCATCTAATTGCATTTGTCCAAAGATCTCTCAAGACAGTAATACAACACCCTCCTAGATAAGGGACGAGTGACACCTGCCACAAGTGTGTGTGTGTGTGCGTGTGTGTGTGGCCAACACGCGCTTCACAGGTCTCTGGGAAAAAGATGACCAGAGACCCCCGAAATAATAGAGGTGCAAGGCCTAACATCGGTTGGACCCATGGTCCCAGCAGCAGCGCTCAGCACTCGCTTTTTACCTTCCCTTTTCGCAGTATGTAACCCTTTAGGGTCCCTCGCCAGCCAGCCCAGCCACTGGATTCTCCCCTGCACGCGCCCGCCAGCACCCGGTTTCCAGGTGCCCCGCAGCTCACCACCGCCGCCGCCTCCGCGGGCCACGCACGAGTCGCTCGGGGAGCGCCCAGCCTCGCGGGGTCCCGCGCACGCCTCCCGCGCCCAGGCCCCGGCCACCCCGCGCCCCCCGCGGCGCCCGGACTACTCACATCGCCCGCAGGAGAAGCTGCCCATGGGGTTCCGGGAGCGTGCGCCGCGCCGCTGCCGAGGGCTATCCCTTAAAGTGCCGGAGGGTCCGCAGTGGAGTGGGCGCGCGAGTCCTCGGAGGAGGCGGAGGCGGGCGAGGGGATTCCGAGCAGCTGCCACGCTAGACCATGGTGTCGCCGGCGCCCTTCAGGTGGCCGTCCGCAGAGGTCCCCGCGGGAAGGGCCGGGAGCGCAGAGCGCCGCGGGGGGCGGGCGCGCGTCCCCTCCCG